GAAAAACCAGAAACAAATAACGCCCGGCCAAGTTTTCTTAGCTCCCAGACCAGAACAAACCATACAAAAAAACAATGCATGGCCAGGTTTTCTGAGCTCCCAGACCAGAAAAAAACATCAACAACCAACGCCTGGCCAGGTTTTCTGAGCCCCCAGATTAGAAAAACCAGAAAAACTAACGCCTGGCCAGGTTTTCTGAGCTCCCAGACCAGAACACCATCAACAACCAACGCCTGGCCGGGTTTTCTGAGCCCCCAGATTAGAAAAACCAGAAAAACCAACGCCTGGCCAAGCTTTCTGAGCCCCCAGGAGGAGGAGGAGGAGGAGGAGGAGGAGCGGGAGAAGGAGGAGGACGAGAGAGAGAGAGAGAGAGAGACAGAGAGAGAGAGAGAGGAGAGAGACAGAGACAGAGACAGAGAAAGAGGGATACGGAGAAAGAGTCGGGCACCGAGATTGCAGGAGGGAGAGCGAGAAAGAGCGGTTCTCTCTCACGAACAAGGATGGTATTGGGCAAACCACCAGGGCTGTGGGCAACATTGGTACTGGCGGCGCCTGCTTCTGCTGGTGAAGCCGTCAATGGGGATCGCAGCAATTCTGTAGTGAGGGACGGCATGGCGCCTTCTGGCAACGGTTCCAGAGGCTCTCCGTTATCCACAGCCATCTCGTCTTCGACGTCAGGCATTGTGGTCATTGTGCGGAGCACGTTCTGAATCAATTCCAGGCTGCTCACAGATGGAAGGTTGCCTCGGACTTGACGCTTCCAAGCAGCGCGGACGCCCGCGGGGGCGACTTTTCCCCGCTTCCTTCGGCACACCTCTGGCACGATGCTCAGATTGCCGATCAAAGGCGTCGACCACACCGACCTGGGGCGGCGGACCATTGTTCATCATGGCCAGAAATATGATGAAAAAACGTATTTCGCCGCTCTTTAAACATGGCGTGGTTCGGCTTTGGGGATGGTCGCCGGACCGGGAGCGCAGGAGTAGATCTTTGTTCATATGACCCACTGTGCTTGAAGCGCTCGTCCTCTGGATGGCTCTCCAAGCCGAAGTACGAGTCCTCCTCGAGGGCCCCCCACCGCCACGTGGCGAACGCCTGGAACGGGCAGCCCGCGTGCAGCGTCCGGCGGGTCGTCCACGACCCCCCGCGTGCGCGGCGGCGGCAGTGCCCGCACGAGGTCGCGCCGGAACTCCCACGGCGACAAATCTGCGAGTGCCCCCCTCGAATGGTCGGAGCCTGTACCCTCTCACCTGGACGTCCTCAGCGCACTTCGGGGCGCGTCGGGGCGCGCGAGCACGTCGCGTTCGTCTGTCGCGCCCGCTCCACGGCGGCAGGAAACGCGCCCGCCACGGGGCAGCTCGCGTTGCACTCTGCGGCGAGCGGATCGGGCCTCTCCGCGAACAGCGCCAAGTTCGTTTCTTGGAAGAGGGTCCGCGCGACGCCCTTCGCTTCCCAATCACCTTTGCAACGGTGCAGCAGGTTCAGCATTTGCTGGGAATCGGGCTTGCCCCACAGTCTGCTGGATAGCGTCGACAGGCAAGCTTTCACCATCTCCCGCCACTTCTTCCCCACTCTCTGCACACTGGCTATGTACCCGTGGCCTGTCCGCGCGTCGCGGCGGCGGCTTTCTGGCGCGCCTGCGCCAGTTCCTCCCGCAGCCTCTCCGCGCCCGTTCCGCGCTCGCCTCCCGCGGCCCTGGCCGCCGGCCCCCGGGGCGCCGCCGCAGCCCGTGGCGTCGCCGCCTTCGGCGTTCCCGCGGCTGCGCGCGGCAGGGCCTCCCGGACCGCCGCTGCGGGCGCGGCCGCGGGCGCGGCCCCGCTCTCGGAGGTCGACCCAGAGTCCGACGCCGAGCTGCGTGCGGAGCGCGAGCGCGAGCGCGGCTCACCGCCCTCGCTCGCCGCCGCCGCTGCCGCCGCCGCAGCCGGCCGCGCGGGGGGGGGGGGGGGCGGCCGTCGGCCTGAGCTACAGCCAACACACACACACACACAGACACACACACACACACACACACACACACACACACACACACACACACACACACACACACACACACACACACACACACGTCACCGCACCGAAAACCCTGCACCTGTCTTAGCGGCGCTCACGCGTGGCGACACGCACACGCGCCGCCAAGACAAGCTGGCGGCAGCAGCAGTGCTGCGGTGTCGACGACTGCGCGGCCTGGCGCCACTTGCCCGCTTCGCCGTGACCGTGTCGCCGTCCTTCAAGGTGTCGCCAAGCGGCCGGTGGAGAGGCAGCGGCTCGCCCTGCCCGCGACCCTCCAGAGATCTGGTTCCCGCCCTGCTACGTGCGAGCGCAACACCTGCACAGGCGAAACGTTGCTCGCACGTACTGCGGTGTGCACAGGCTTTGGGTGAACGCAAGCACTGTGGTTCACACAGGCGCTGCGTCGCACACGGGTGCTGCGGTGTGCACAGGCGTTGTGGTGCACGCGGGCACTTTGGTGTGCAGACACGGTGGTGTACACAGGCGCTGTAGTGCACGCGGCTGCTGTGGTGTACAAGCGCAGTGGTGTTCACAGGAAGTATTAGCATGTGGCTTGGGCGAAGAGAGGTCCCCGGAATCGTTCAGGCAGTGGGCCGCCGCCGTCGTGAAGGTCGTTTTCGAGGAGGTCCGACCCGCCAGCCGCCGAATCAACCTCGATCACGTCGGACTTCGAATGGCCGTGCACGGCCAACAACTTGAGCATCACCATGGCGACGGCACTAAAGTGCTGAAAGCCCCCCACTATTTGAAGCCGAGAATCTTGGCCACAACCTTCCATCTCCAATACTCCTCTGCCTTCTCTTCCTCCTCCTTTCCTTCCTCCTCTGACTCCAACCGCATATGCGCCCTCGTTGTCGTTGTCATCCTCGTCCACTTCCTCCTTTGACTCCTCCTCCTCCTCCTCCTTCTGCTCCGCTGCCGTCTACTGTCTGAGCTGCGGGGGATCAGCATCCACCCTCCAGTCCCCAGTGTTGATGGCCCACTGTAATGGCCCCGTCGACTGGGAGACCAGTAGGCTTCGCTACACGGCCTTAAGAAATCGTAAGGCCAAGTGTCACCCGCGCACGGGGATTCCCTCAAGAGGTGACACCCACGTGGCTTCGGGATAGCCGCTTCAGTCGTGGCTCCCCCGTTTCCTCGGCGGAGTCATTCGAGTCGCGTGTCCTCCTGCTTCCCTCCCGTTCCGTTCCTCCTGCTCCCTGCCCGCTGTCCCCGCTTGGCCCCTCTTCTGCCTGCCCGCCCGCCCCGTCCGTCGTCGTCTGCCTGCTTCTCCCGTCCTCGCCCCCTTCCGCCGGGCAGCACAGCCTGCCCGGGACCAGCGTTGCGCAGCCTGTCTCCGTAGCCAGAATTTCGGTCACGCTTTGACGTCTCCCAATGTGCGTGCGAAGGGAAGTTCATTACGAAGGGTGATCTCATGGCGTAGGCGCACATTCGTTTCACTTCTCCCTGTTCCGTCCCCAGTAATGGGGTGAACAGTTCTTCGAGCTACTCGGTCAGATTATTCAGTATAAAGGACTAGTGCACCTGATACACGCATTTAGCGCATGGCCTGGCTGCTGGTTAGCGCGTAATTGGTGCGCCAGCCCCAGTGCACAGGCAGGCTGCGAACGGATTGCAGATTTCATGGGATTTTCCTCTTTGTCATCATAGTTCTTCTCGCGCCGAGGTTCGAATCTCGAAGATCGAGTTTCGAGGTTTCCGACCCTTGGGGGCTATCCGCTCCGCGCCACTATGGCCGAACGCCGCTCGAGAGACTGGTGCGTGCCGTCAAAAAAGTCACATTACGGTCCTATATTTCCCCACGACGGCCCAATACGATTTCAAGACGGCCTTGGAGGCCCTCAGAGAGGCCCAGGAGGACCTCCAGAGACTCCCTCCGGAGGGTCCGACGAAGCGAAAAACTTCAACCCTCTTGAAGGTTTCTAAGATTTCAGCGTTTCCGTATATCTCGTTGTGGAAGCGTCCGCGCCGGCCGAACATGCCACAGAAACCGCCCGGCAATGCCATGGCAGCCTCCAAGAGGGCTCTGGAAGAACCTTGGAGGGCTGGAAGATCGCCCGGAAAGCACCCAACACGAGCCCGAACAGTTCCTAGGACCTTTGAAGAAGTCCCCTCAGTCGCTCCACGGAACAAGTTGCTCCTGGGACAGCCCCCTATAGCCTCAAAAGTCTCCGAGAAGCCCCCCGAGCGCCAGCCAGGGATTCAAAGGGCGCCCCAAGACAGCCAGGGACGCTCCCAACAAGCAACCGAAGCGTCCCAAAGAGGCCCCCAGTATGTCCCAAAGAACCATCCGAAACAAAACTCCAACGACGTCCAAAACGTCCGTACTCTCCGCGGTCCGCGCGGGAGCTCCGTCCCAAACAAAAACAATTTGACTCTATTCGTCACGTGGCGACGTTGCGGTGGCCGATAAAAGATACTATGACACTTCGCTCGCTTCGTGGCAACACCTTGAGGCGCAAATGACAAGTATTCCGTTCTTGCCGTCACGTGGCAGCGCCGCGGAAGCCACACAAAAACATCGTGTCGCGACGACGCGGAGGACGACGACGAGAACGACGACGACGGTGACGACGATGACGAGGGCAGGGAAGAGAACACAAATTCTATCATGTCATTCTCGTCCTTCTTTCTTCTCCCTTCTCCCTCCTCCATCCTGCATCCTCCCTCCTTCCTCCCCCTTCCTCCCGTCTTCCCCTCCCTTCCTCACCCCTCCTCCCTCCTCGCTCCTCCTTCCTCCCCTACTCTCTACCTTCCTCTCCTCTCCTTCCTCCTGTCCTCCTCCCCCTCGCCCGCAATTCACAGCAACGCAATGCACTTCAATTGCAATGCAAACGCAACGCATTGCAATGCAATGCAACGCCACGTAATGCATGTTAGTGCGGAGTGCGCTTGCAAACGGGCACGGGATTGAGGGACCCAACGGCGTCTTCACCATGCTCCCCTGTATTCCACTATATATTCGCTCAAGCTTTCACAGGTTCGCTCGCATGGGCCTCCCGCGTGGGCCCCTGGCAGCCGCGGCGGCGGCCGCGGTCCATGGGCTGCTGGCGTTAGGGCTTTGGAGCTCGACGCCCGCGCCTGCTTGCCCGCAGCCGGTGTGCCCGACGCCATTCTGCCCGGCGCTGGTCTGCCCCGACTGTGTGTCGGTGGCCGGCGCGCCCGACCCGGGGCCGCCGGGTGGCCCTGCGGCTCTCGGCCTGGGCGAGGTGCCCGAGGAGCTGGCGGAGATCCGCTCGGCGGCGCTTCGCCTGGAGGAGCAGCTCGCCTTGGTGCAGGCGGCGCTGGAGGCCGCTTGGAACGCCTGGCCGTTGCTCTGGGTGCTCATCGGTGGGGCGGGCAGGGATCTGCTCGGTCGCCTGACCGATAGGTGCCGTCGGCGTCATGCTGTCGAACAGGAAGTACCAGCTGTTCTCCTCCAGCGGCCTCGTCGTGCCGGAGGAGGAGTTTATGCGTGAGATGAAGCCGGGCAAGCGGTTTGCCCTTTGGTATGAGGACGACACTTACTGGCACGAGCGGGTCGCGCTGGCGGAGGTGCGGCCAGGGGTGTGGGTCATCACCACTCCCGATGGGCATCGCTACTCTGAGAATATCAGGTGCCGCCGGGGTACCTCAGGCGCGGTGCAGGCGGTGCATCTCGTCCCTGATGCCGAGCTGCTGGAGCCGATGAAGGGGCACTTCTACCGGTTTCGCACCGCGTTCGACGCCGCGGACCTGGTGGAGCAGATCAATCTGGCTGAGGGCGAGTCCTATGGCATCACTCGTCGTCGGCGGCCGTCGCCTGAGGCCATTGCCCTGTGGGACGGGAGTGAGGTCGAGTATCAGGCGCTGATGGACTCGGACGGGGCGCAGCTGGTGCCCTTGGCTGGGGACGACGGTGAGGCGAGGCCTGCTGTCGCGCCGGGCGCCGCGGCTCTGCCGCTGGCCGCGCCCGCTGGCCCGCCGCTGGACGTCACCTGGCTCATCGTCGACCCGCTCCACCCTGATTTCGGTCGGGAGCGCCATCCTGCTCCAGACGCCGAAATGGCAGGTGACTACGCCATGGCGTTGGACGCGAGTCGGCGGCCGGTGCCAGTGAAACGGGTGCCGATCGCCGACGTGGCCACCTTCTTGGACACGGTGCACATGACGGTGCGCAAGATCCTGGACGAGGAGGGCGCCGCCGTGAAGGCGGACAAGGGTCTGGAGGGCCGCCTGAGCGAGGCCCTGGACGGCGGCACCAAGACCCCTCCTGCGGGCGAGGACGCGAGGACCTTGTCGGTGAGCTACGACGAGCACGGGGAGCGGCACAAGGACTGGCGATCGGTCTGCGCCGAGATCTCGTTCAGCCACTTCAGCGACTGGGAGAAGCACCACGAGGGGCCGGCGACCACGCTCGCGTTGTTCAAGAACATCCAGCGCCAAGGGGGAGATCCTCGCCTGTTCTATCCCATATGGTGCCGGGACGCGGGCGTCAGCCCTCAGGAGCGCACGGGCATCGAGATGAAGCTCCTGCTGGACATCCTGTACCTGAGCGGCTGCTACGACCAGGTCAACGGGCCATCGTTGGCGAGCGTCGAGGCCGTGTCGAGGAGGGTGTGCCAGATCATCGAGGCGTACTCCACTGGCGCTCCTGGCCGCGCGAACTGGGAGGGCGTGAAGCACTTCATGCCTCTGGCCAACTCGGCCTCGGTGGTGCCGCCGGAGCTGCGCTCGCATGCCCACCGCCGCGCGAAGGAGGAGGTGGAGATCGAGAACATGCGCATGAAGGCGCGCGGGCTGCATCCGGGCGCCGGCGCTGAGGGCAGTCAACCTGTCCTTCCTGGCGCAGGCGGAGGCGGAGGCGGCCGCGGCGGGGGGCCCAAGGGCGACCCGAAGGGCGGAGGACGTGGTCAGCCCAAACAGGGAGCCGGCGCGGAGGCGGAGAAGGTGAAGTTGCCGGGACAGGGGTGATGCTCGGGGCCGGCGCCGACCGTGGTCGAGTCGACGCTGGAGGCCCAGACTCGGTGGCAGGTGACAGCCGTGTGAGGCGCGTTGCCATGCTGCCGCTCTTTCCAATTCCCCTCTCCCCGGCACCTGCCGTGCCCAGCGGACGTGGCCGACAGGCTTCTGGCCTGCGAGGCCATTTGCGGAGACTGAATGCTGATGTCAACGCAACTGTGAACGCTTTGAATTGGATGGCTGGGGACCGGCATCGCCCCGAGTACGGGCCGCCGCGTACCTCAGAGCAGGCTAGTGTGCATGCGCGCGTCAGAGACCGGATTTCTCCCCTTTTGACTTCAGGCGTCGCGATCCCTAGCCGGCGAGCGGCTTTTCTCGAGCTGCTGCACGGCCGGGCTGTGTACGATGCAGAGCCCGGCGGACACAACCTTGCCAGTTTCTCCAATGTCTCCTCTGTGAGCCTGCCTGACAGCCTCGTCGGCGCCCCTTCGGTGCAGGAGGTTGTGGGCCCAGAGGCGAGCCAATTCTTGGAGCAGAACTACGAGCGCATGCTGCGCACCTCGACGGACTTTTTGGAGCGACAGGAGTCGCTGCCCTCTATAACTCCCTATTGGGACCCTGTGCTTTCTCGCAGCCGCCGCAAGTTTCTGCGGCTGATGCGGGCGCTTCTGCGGATTGGACTGGTCACGCTTTTGCCAGCTGGTTCGGCGCAGGAGCACGTCGGTATGTTCTTTGTGAAGAAGGCCGGTAAAGGTAAGAGTCGGCTCATCATTGATGCTCGTCGTGCGAATAGGCGTTTTGCTGATCCCCCTGGAGTCCACCTCTGTTCGTCAGAGAGCCTCGCGAGGATCGAGGTTTCTCTTCCGCCTGGTTGCTCTAGTCCTACTCCTGATCAACTTCGTAGCGCCCAGATGTGTCTGGGGCTGGCGGATGTTAAGGACGCTTTCCATCGGTTTCGTCTTCCCTTGGGCCTGGCGAGTTACTTTGGTTTGGGTGCCGCCACAGCAGGGGAACTGAAGGTCGTGGGAACCAATGTTGGCGGGAGCGTCTTGGGTGTTGATGACCAGGTCGACATATGTTGGGCTTCTCTTCCTATGGGTTTCTCTTGGTCACTCTACTTCTGCCAGCAAGCGGGTGAGCATCGTATGGCTAATGTTCCTGGTCTTCGTGATTCTGCCCTCCTTCGCGATCGTGGTCGGCCTGGGGTCTTCAGGTTTGCTGAGAAAGGCGAGGGCGAGAAGGGGGGGCTCGTCTTGGAGGGCTCCGGGATATGTCACTACATCTACGTTGACAATCTGGGTGTTCTCTCTTGTGATCCCTTTCATACCTCGTCCATCCTGTCCGACGCGGCGGCTCGTTTCGAGAGCGTTGGGCTCGCGACCCACGAGCACGAGGTGAGTGCCACTTCGTCGAAGGCCCTGGGGACCCACATAGACCTCGAGGGCCTTAGAGTTTCTCTTGCGCCCGCTCGACTGTGGAAGGTGCGCCAGGGTGTTCTGTATGCCTTGTCGTGTCGGAAGCTGTCTGGGCGTGTCTGGGAAGTGCTGCTGGGCCACCTCACCTTCTGCGCGCTGATCAATCGTAGCATGATGAGTGTCTTCAGGAGTATCTATGCCTTCATAAATAAGTACTACGCTACCCCTATGCCGCTGTGGGACACCGCTAGGCAGGAGATGCTGACCGCTGCCTCCCTCCTGTTCCTGATGGATGCCTCGTGGACGCTGCCCTGGTCCCCTGGTGTCGTGGCCACGGACGCTTCGGAGGAGGGGTTCGGGGCCACCGTCTCAGAGTGGGACCCTCAGGACGTCTCGGAGGTGGGAAGATCCTGGAGAGGGGCCGCTTTCGGAAGCTTCCTGGAGTTTCTGCCCGGTCGAGGTTTTTCGGGAGTCTTGAGGAGCTTGGATCTGAGGCGGACGAGGGGGAGTTCGACAGGCCATATATGAGGTGGACTCTAGCTTCCCGGAGGTCCCCCACAAGCTGCTCACGCAAGCCCACTGGAGTACCCTTCTGGCGGGCCCCTGGAAGTACTTTGACGAGGGCATTTTCACCTTGGAGGCTAGGGCCCTGGTCCTGGGATTTCAGGCGCTGGTGAGCGAGTGCCAAGTCAGGAACGCGAGGGTGCTCTTCTTGGTTGATAACATGGGGGTGTGTCTAGCCTTCGCTCGGGGGCGCACCACGGACTTCAGGACCCTGATGTGTATGAGACGCATGGGGTCGTGGTGCTTGGCCCTCGGACTGCGAGTCTGTTTTCGCTGGATACCTTCCGAGTGGAATGCTGCGGATGAGCCGTCCCGTCGGTTTTCGGTAGAACATGTTGGCTCACGTGCTGACCTTGACTCTGTTGGCTATTCCCGCACTGTTCCTGAACCACTCAGATGTGATGGAGAGGGGCCCCAGGTTGGGGCCTGCCCGCGCCGTGCCGCGGGCGAAGGCGCAATCAGGCCGCCTGCCCCGCGGGTCGACGACGATCCCCGCGGCGCCCGTGGTCTCGAGGAACCTGGTGACGTTCACGCCGGCGCCCGCGACTGGCAGGGCGACCCGGGCCCGCCGTCTGGCGTCCGGGGACGCGCTGGTGGCGAAGCTGGAGCAGGCCCCGAAGGAGAAGGAGCAACGGACGCTCGACGAGTTGAGCGACGGAGAGGTGACAGACAAGGACGACGAGAGCGACGCGACCTCCGACACCGTGAAGGTTCAAGTGCGGCCGGCTCGCCGAGTGCGAGTCTTGGCGGCCCCGCGGGTCGGGCGAGCGCGCCAGCCGGTGGAGGCGAAGCGGCTGCAGGGGCTGGGTCTTCTGCCGCTGGAGTCGAGCGCGGTTCAGTCGAAGACGGAGACCGACTACTACGACGCGGTGAACGCCTGGCGGGCTCGAGCCCGCGAGCTGGGCGAGCCTCTCGGCGTGGCTGCCGAGGTGGACGCGTCGGTGGCGCGGCAGCTGCAAGAGCTTTTCGACCAAGGCGAGAACCTCAGCAAGGGCGAGAAGCTCGTGGCCGGGCTGGAGCACTTCCTGCCCGAGTTCGGGCGGCATGGTGGCCTTCATCTTTCCCGGTGCTACCGGGCTCTGAAAGGCTGGAGACGCCGCTGCCCGCCACGATCGCGCCGCCCCCTGGCCTTCAGCATCTGGGCAGCCATCATCTGGGAGCTGTGCCGCGCGAACTTCTGGAACATGGGGGTGTACGCGCTGTTCATGCCGGTGACCTACATGCGGCCCTCGGAGCCCCTGAAGCTGCTGAAGGAGGACCTCCTCGCCCCGGCGCATGGGCTCTCTGCCTCGCGGATCTGCTTCGCCTTCCGGCAGGAGCGGGGAGCGGCGTCCAAGACGTACGCGACGGACGAGAGCATCGACCTGAGCTGCAGGTGGGCGCCCTACCTGACGACGGTGGTTGCTGCGCTGCGAGCAGGCGACCCCAAGGCCAAGGTCTTCAACTTCAAGTACAGCAGCTACACGCGCCAGTTCAAGATCGCCTGCAAGAAGCTGGGGCTGACGGCCGTGCCTTATCAGGCAAGGCACTCAGGCGCCTCCATCGACGCCGCCATGAAGTATCGCACCCGGGCCGAGATCAAGAGCAGGGGGCGGTGGAAGGCGGACAAGTCGGTGCTGAGGTACGACAGCAAGGCCAAGATTGTCGAGAGCGTCGACAAGCTGAGCGCCTCGTTGGCGTCTCACGTGCGCAGGTGCGAGCTCCAGCTCGGGCCCCTTTTGTGCGGCCAGATCGACCCCTCGGTCATCGCACCGCCCGTCATCCCGAGCTCGGCCCCAAAGAAGCGACGCCGTACCTAGCCGATCTTTTTGGCGGCACAGGCGGTGTGGGCCGAGCAGCAGGCAGATGCGGTATTCGGGCTCGGCTGTGGGGCAAATCTATTTCAGACTCTTTGGATCTGACACTTCTGAAGAACATCCAGCTTTTGTGCTCGGAGGCCAAACATGGTAAGTTGGTTGCAGCCATGATCGCTATCGAGTGCCGCTCTTGGGGCATCGCTCGTCACAGAACCAACGTGATCCGTTCGCGTACTGAGCCCTGGGGTGTTACGAAACTGGCCAAACCCTTCTCGGCCAATGATCTGGAAGCCCTTCGGACCGGAAATCTCCAGGTCCGCAGGATCCTCAAGCTCATTCGGTACATCCACGCCCTGGGCATCCCGTGGGCCGTCGAGAACCCAGCGACAAGTTTATTTTGGTGGGTCCCAGGCTTCATCCAGTTCGCGAACGATCCCAAGGTGCATGTTAAGATTATCGGCCAGTGTGCCTTTGGAACCCCGTGGCGAAAGCGTACCCAACTCATGCTCGGCAATTGCGACCCTTTTGATGTCAGCTTGTGCGATAAGTATATGTGCCACGGTCGGGGGACTTGCTGTTTCACTGGAAAACCTCACGTGGAGCTGGAGGGCAAACGTATGACATCCCAGGCCCAGACTTACCCACCCCGTTTTTCCCAGCTCCTGGCCAAAATACTGTGCAGCACGGCTGTATGTCAACGTGCTTACCAATACTCAATCAACTCATAAGCTCACTACCTTTCGGGACGTTTTGGGAATCAGCTATTGCATAATGCCGATTATATACTCTTTAGCATTCTCATTCTGTCGTGGGCCAGCTCGTGATGACGGTGGCAGAGTTGATTAGACACATTGCTGAATGAAAACAGAGTGCAGGTCTCTCATGTTAGTGCGGAGTGCGCTTGCAAACGGGCACGGGATTGAGGGGCCCAACGGCGTCTTCACCATGCTCCCCTGTATTCCACTATATATTCGCTCAAGCTTCCCTCCCCCCTCTCCCTCTTCTTGCGCGGTGCCGTTCCGACTCCACGTTTCAAGGGAATCAGCTATTGCATAATGCCGAGTATATACTCTTTAGCATTCTCATTCTGTCGTGGGCCAGCTCGTGATGACGGTGGCAGAGTTGATTAGACACATTGCTGAATGAAAACAGAGTGCAGGTCTCTCAATACAATGCAACGCAATGCAACGCAACGCAACGCAATGAAATGCAACGCGTCACGTGGCAGCGCCGCGGGGGCCGATCAAACTCATTATGCGACGACGACGACCTCGATGACCAGGGCCAGGGAGGCGAACAAACCTACTATCTTGTTGCCCTCCTCGTCCTTCTCTCTCCCTCCTCCTCCATCCTTACGCCGCTTGGGTTCGAGCATTCTGCTCGCGCCCATCCCTTTGGGTTTCCACGCAGCGCTTGACGGACTAGGTGTCTGCGCGAGCGAGTCAGATCGCCGACACCTCGACTATTACGCAGGGTCAGATTCAGATTGCAGCCATGGCGGGTCCTTCAAAGCTGCAGCAGCTCTGGACTCGTTTCAGAGCACGTAGCGCTTGTGATCAGAATCGCATCCTATCTTCGGCAGGGCAACGGTTGTACCAAATGCCACATGCCTGTTGGTCTGTGCAGGAAGCCGTCAGGTAATTGCCGCAGTGTGTCTTTCGCTCTGGATGCGAGCGTTGGCGGCTTCCACGGTTGTGACGGCGGGGGCAGCAGCCAGTTGCAGGAGCCCTTCCCAGTCGGTGTCCTCAGGAGCCGCAGCGTCTCTCCGTCGACGGGCACAGGCAGAACACATAAAACAACACAATAAGAACATACATACGTAAAACAAATGATAAACATGTACCAACACACCACACAAACACGCACGCACGCGCGCACACGCACGCACGCACGCACGCACGCACGCACGCACGCGCGCGCACACACACATACACACACACACACACACGCACACACACACACGCACGCACGCACGCACGCACGCACGCACGCACGCACCACGCACGCACGCACGCACGCACGCACGCACGCACGCACGCACGCACGCACACACACACACGCACACGCACACGCACACGCACACGCACACGCACACGCACACGCACACGCACACGCAACACACACGAACACACACGAACACATACGCACACACGAACACACACACGAACACACACACACACACACGAACACACACACACACGAACACACACACACACACGCACACACACACGAACACACACACACACGAACACACACAGAGACACACAGAGACAGACAGACACACACACACACGCACGCACGCACGCCCGCACGCACTCACGCACGCACACGCATTTAAAAAAAAAGAGGCACGGCCAGCGTGGCCGAATTGTTCCAGCGGGCCGTGGCGGTCACGGCGAACCCGAAGGTGCAGCAAGCCCTGCAGGAGCAGCTCGGCGTGCTGGCTCAGGAGGCGGCGCAGAGCGCCAGGGAGCGCGACTCGCCCGTCGAGGCGGTGAAGCGCGCCGAGGGTGCCTGGCGCCACGCAGAGTATTTGCACGGGCAGGTTGTCGCCGGCGTGGTGCGCCTCCGCGGCAATTTGGCAGCGGAGAAGGAGAAGCAAGCGGCATTGGCTTTTGCTAAGGCCGAGGAGGCCAAACGCAAGGCAGCTGTGGACCATGCCCAGGCTGCGGGCACCCAGGCGGGCCACCCCAGGGACGCAGCGCTGTTCCAGGTGCACTGGGACGAGAAGTTCTTCGACGCAATCGACGAGCTGGAGCTTCAGCCAGAGGAAAAAGAAGCGCGCCACCAGCTCCAACGCTTTCTTCTTGGACGTACAGAGGCACTTGGGAGGGAAGAGTACGGCGGCGCAATAATGGCTGCCCCAGCATCAGGGGCAGAAGAACCAGCTCACGGACAGGTTGGCCAAGAATCCGGGAGGTGGTGGCGGTGCCCAAGTAGAGGATGGCGCCTCAGCGTCTGCACCTACGACGGCGGCAGCTTCTGGCGACGGCTCGGCCTCCAATCCTGAAGGCGACGCGGCACCCAAGCTTGAAGAAGAGGAAGTTCGTATCAGTGCCAAGGCAGGGAAACTGTCCAGGGCGAAGTTCGACGCTCAAGCTTTGAAGGCCAAGGCGCAGGGCAAGGGCGCTGCCGTCAATGGCTCGCTGCAGCAGGTGGGATTCCTCCCGCGCAGGAGAAGGCAGCGAGGCAGAGACGGATATTGCGCGGCTTTGCTATGCAAATGCAAAATCTCCCTCAGTTAAGGTTTGGCCGTCCATGCGTGCGCGAACAAGTCAATTTCAGTGCTGGGGCCTCGTCGAGACTCACGTTCACGGGGAGTCGGGGATGCGAGATGCGAGATTGGACAGCCAAGGCACGGACGTGCAAGTTACAGCTGCATCATGATGCGGCAAGACCGTCGGGCAAGGTCCGCACGTCTTCAGGCGCGCGCTCGAACAAAGGTGGCGAGGTTGTCTCGGCGCAGCGGCGCTGGCAGCTGCGCGTCCTCGCAGAGGCCAAGACAGCGGCTTGACATCTACGAGACGCTCGACGTAAGTCATCCGACGGATTCCCCCCAGTCGTTGGCCACTTCGCGGGCTGCACCCCGCTGGTCATCATGATCTGGGGGCGCGCGAGAGTGGGCATGCAGTCCAAGGACAGACCGAGATTGCAACGCGTCAATGCAGTTAGTCCGTCCAGCAAGCGCACGTGGTTCTAAACGGGGACGTCGCTTCAACGCGTCCCCGCAGGTGCTGAAGCAGTCCCGATTCGTCTCGAGATTGAACGGTATCACTCACAGTCCGCCTGGGATCAAGGGCACGCGTGCGCAGAAACAGGGACCTGACGCCGCGGTGGATTATCTTCTCCGCAGCGAGACGGCAATTCGCTTTTTCAAAGAAATCGAAGCTGTCAAAGATGCCCCGTGGATGCTTCATTTCGCTGAGCTTATGTTTTTCCTTCTACAGTTGCAGACCAGGGTCGTTCAGCCCCCAGCGAAGCTACTTCAGTGCCCCTGGCCTCGGGCGGAACCCATTGCGGGCTCCAAGTATTAGCGGCAGAAGGCTAATGTGAATGCTGCGACAGCTGAGGCCGAGCGACGGCGCTGCGAAAAGCTGCAGGGCATTTTTGGCTACGTTTTCGAAAGTGGCAAGAGCAATCTGCCCCGTCCCTCGGCCGAGGGCTCTGAGGGCCATGCTGCCCCCGACAACTATGGCCCTGACGAGGGAGAGCTGGGTTTTGACGAGGAAGAGGGCCCTTGGGCCGATGAGCTCAACCTCTGTCCTGATTCGTCATGGCGCGTGCTTGCTGCGCATGCTGCCCCACCCCCAGTCCGAGGCAGCCGCCCCGCGGTCAGGCAGAGAAGCCAGGGCCTCCAACGTGGTCAGCTCGCTGCAGGCGCAGATTCCCAACGGCCTCGACCAGGCCCGCGATGCGCCCGGTAATTCTGTTATGTCAGGCATACTTTCCACTAATTCCGGTCTGTCTGAATCCGCGGGCGCCCGGCCCCCCCCCCCGCGCGCCCCCCGCCCCCGCCCCCGCCCCCCAGGGGTCTCACGCTTAGACCTTGGTGAACCCAGTCGCGAGGCCCCCAACTCGTATGTCCCATGCCGACTGTGGCAAGAATGTCGCCCCCAGGTTGGCGTCGCTTCAGGGGTTGCCCCTGTCTCGGCGGGCTCCCCAGCCCTTTGCTCCTCCGCTGTTATCTCGCTCGAGCACGAAAGTTCAATCGCATCGTCGGGGGCGCGCGCGTCGCGGGCCCGGGCCGCGGAGAGAGCCACCCATCAGCGCCGCCGGCTGGAACCTTCGGCTCGAGCGGTGTCTCGCCGCGACGGTGAACGGCCCAGCGCGAAACCGCGCCGGAAGGCCCGGCGCATGGGCGACGTTGCGTTGCGGGGTCAGAAGGCGCAATGATGGACTCGCCTGCGCGCAGATGCCCTAAGAGCGGCGCGACGTTGCTCTCGCGGCAGCGGCCCCATGTAGATGGAGCAGCAGATTGTAGCATGCAAGCAACGCATCACAGGCAAGCCTGATGGGGTTCGCGACATCCTGAGGGAAGGGCGAGACCCCTCCCCAGGAAACAGCGGCCGCGTGCACTGGGCGATCCATGTTCGCAGCCGTTGCCACTGTTTGATCCCGTTGATGTCTCACCGCGAAGGGCGATGGACCGAGCGCAACGAGCAGCGGTTGGCAGCTTGTCTGCCGATTTCAAGTCCCAGGCGGTCGATCCCTAGGCGATGGGGGCGCCCCATCGGCGTCTCCAGCCTCGATCGACCCCCCCCCCGCCCAGCGAGGCGCTGCACGGCGGCGCCGCGGCCCTTCGCCCGAAGGACGGCTGCAAGCAGGAATTTCAACAACAATCGTGGGCCACGCAGCCTGCTGATCGATCTACCGCCATCGACATCTTCCGCGAGATCAAGGAGGCAGCTTAGTTCGATCCGCTCGAGGACATCGCGGCCTCGGGCATCTGACGGGCACCGGGCAGCTCGAGGGTGGACATGTTCACGCCCGAAGACTACCGACGGCTGCCAGTGGTGGCCCTGTGCGAACTGGCGCTCAACCTCAAGGTGGTCGGGCAGCTGACGAGGCCTGCGCGGGCGATGCCTATCATGTGCAGACTTATTCCAAAGAAGGCTGTCGCCATGGATGCAGCCATTGGAGGGCCTACATGCAGGGCCGACGTGCGGTCTCTCCTGCGGGAGCCACATGTCCAGGAATGGTCCATGGACCGCGCCAAGGCGCGGGGCGCGGCTGCGGCTGGTAACAGTTGTCTCCGGGGAGCATAGTCGTCGCTTTATCGACGAGGAATTGGCCCGCGCCGCCAAGGTGAATTACAGCCGCGCCTCGGTGGAGTGCAAGCATTTTACGACGCCATATCATGGCAATTGCTCGCCAGAGTAGAATTATCTTGTTACCTTTACCACCTGCTATTTTTCTGCCTGGAGTCATTGCAATGCGTCGCATGCTGCGCTCGCATCCAAGACGGAGCTGCGACCGACCCATTCGAACCCGCCCAAATCGGTGGACCAGGGCTTTCGGCGGCGCGAGGCCCCCACGCATCGCGACGCACTTCGCGATGAAGAAGGCCACCCAGGGCAGCCCGCATTTGAAGCGTCGGCTTTGGGTGGGCGATGCGTCGCAGAAAGTGGTCGGACCTCGGAGGAAAGTTATTCGCAGTCTGATTGAATGCACCACGCGTACTTGCACGGGATCGCAAGCTCGCGGATTGAGAGCGTCGCCGAAGTTTTGTGCACCAGCGAGGAAGAGTCTGCCGAGGTTGTCCGTGCCCTCCGCGTGGGGGGCATTCGTATCCGGGCAGCGCAGCAGGCCCCTTGCGTAAATGTGAATGAAACAGAGGGCGAGCAACCCGCGCAGCACGTGATGGACGCCACAAACATACGAGCGCAAGCACACAAAAGGTGTTCAATGGCATCCAAGCGTTATCGTGTGATTTCGCGGCTGGAAACGCAGGCGGGCAACCGGCGGGTGCATGTGGTTTCGAAATCCACGGCGTGTTCCGGGCCCTCCTCGCGGACTGTCGCAGGAGATTGGCAGCTGCGCGCGCGGCGCCGACAGCGGGCAGGTGCCTTGCCGCGCTGGAGCTGCGCGCCCCGCAAGGTGACCCAGCCATTGTACCATTGAGCAGGCGTGTTGATGTGGTTATCTCGGTGGCTGGCGCGTCCTTGCTGATGGCGCAACGCGCAGGATGCGTGGCCACCCATGTTCGCCTCGCTGCAAAGTGCTACACAGAGTGAACAGAACTGGGAGGTCCATGGACCCATTGCAGCTTCGATTTGCAACTGTCGAGGTTCGAGCGGCAGTCGGTGGCTCCGCCCAAGTGGGCGCATGTAGGGGATAATGGAATTTGGGAAGAACGGTCATTTCCACATGAGACTTACACAGATCACAAGTGGAGCGACTCACACCGATCCCTCCCGGCACATATTTGCCACGCAGTTCGACGCCGCTTGTGGCAACAAGCAGCTACGCATTACTGTGGCAGTGGCTTGGAATGAGGCATACATATAGATAATCATTTCGCATTTCACCCACGCATCTCGGCGAGTAGGGCCCGATATCTAGCCGAGGTCATGATTGATGTCGCTACACGGGGGCATTGGCCAACGTTGCGCAAGAAGCAGCTTCTCAAATCTCATCGTCGCAATGGGCGTTGTGATCGTTGCAAGCAGGACGATGGTAGCCCCATGGACAGGACATGGCTGTGTCCGCGGAACTAGCGCGGCAAAGCCCACGCGGGCTCCGACTTCCTCCCGAGCCAAGTTGTGGCCCAAGCTGAGGCAGATGGAGGCTTTTGGCTGGGAGGCGTGCTGCCCGGCGCCTGGGTGGCAGCCCCAGACCCTTTCAGCCAGGGCAGTGGAGCTATTCTGGAGTCAGCGTTTTCGATCAGGGAGCGTATGGCACAGGCAGCCAGTCGAAACCCATGTGGCTCTCTGGCTATGCGCCTGGAGGCTCCTGCACGGCATCGGCTAGGTTCAGAAGAGTAGTACTTGAGGTGGTGAAAATTGTCGGCTCCTGGCCGCATGTATCAGTTCACGGCCCCCTGGTGGGGCCAGGGCAAGTGGTTGCGCGAGGAGAGCTCAAGGCCTTCGTCATCGCGCTGTGGAGCTCAGTTTGCCACATGATCTGCGTCTCCGACTGTCACTCGGTCTCGGTTGGGTGGCATGCACGTGCACAGATACGGCCAAGTGGACTTGGCGCGGATCTGTGGACAGAAGCTGGTCTCTCGGTGGAGGGTTGGTCTAACATTGCGGCTGAGGACATCGTCAACAATCGAGCTGTTCCGATCATGGCGGCGGGCAACAACATTGCCAACGAGTTGGCAAAACATGCTGAGCAATAAGCACAGGTACCCCCAGCCCTGCTAGCCAACATTCTGCACCACGAGCCCCGAGCATATCCAGTAACACTTGCACTTGGCAGTCGGAAGGCTACGGCCGGAACGGAGACGGGGGAGAGAAGGAGTGGCCTTGTGGCCCAGGCGTGCCTTCCACCTCCCCCTCCTCCTTATGCTGCTCCTGTCTCGTCTCTCCCATTTGCCCGCGAGCTTTCAGAGTGCAAGCGAAGATGCCCGTGGTGTTTTTCTCCGGCCACCAAAGCCAGTGTGAAACAGTGGTGGGGCGAGGAGTGTCCACAGCTGTTCAACGTCGATGGGGATGTTGTGTCTCCCGAGGCAGGTTCTAGAGTGCATGTCGTGTGGGGGGGGGGGCTGAGCCCGTGCGTCTCACACTTTACATGTTCTTGATAGTTTTGTCTTGCAGCCTGTGTACGGCTACTGCTGAAAAGCGGTCGCGTTCCCTGGGCGCTCTTTTGCCCTGGCCTCAAGCCACGCGTCTCACCTAAGTGCGGCGGGGCTATATTGATCGGATTACGGTGGGTCGGCAGCCGAAGGTCCTCAGCCAAGCCGAACAGAAGGCGAGGCGGTCAACAACTCTTCGTGAAGTGTGGTGGTCATGTCACGCAGCTGAATTCCGCAGCAGGGTCCACTCCACTCCACTCCCTCCTCTTCCTCCTCCACTCTCCTCCTCACTCCTTCTTCTCCTTTGCTTGATTTGTCAAGCCCTCATCGAGCACGCACCTCGCGAAACCGCGCGTCGCATCAGCCTCCCTCCCCGTTTCCTCCCTCCTCTCCGCCTCCTCCTCCCCCTCTTCCCTCATCACTGCAATGCGCAATGCAATGTCCTCCTCCTCCTCCTCCTCCTCCTCCTCCTCCTCCTCCTCCTCCTCCCCTCTACCCTTCCTCTCCTTTCTTCTCCTCCCTCCTCCCCCCTCTTCCTCCCCTCCCCCCCACGCACTTCACTGCAGTGCAATGTATTGCGTTTGCAATGCAAATGTCGTACAGCAAACCGAAATGCAACGAAACGTGATGCAACACAATGCAACGCCATGCAACCTGCAACGTGCAATATGCAACATGTTGGTAGAATTCTGCACTACGCAATCTATTCCCAATCACTATACGATGCAGTGCGGCGCACTGCCATGCCATTCGATGCGATGCAACGCAAACGGCGCAGTTCAATGCAACGCGACGCAACATAGTGTGCCAGCCCGCAAGTCTGCTCGCCCGCCCGCCCGCCCGTTCGCCCTTCCGCGCGCGCGCCCCCACCCAGTCCATTCCATTCCACCGCGCATAACTCCCATCCGTTCTACTCCATCCCACGCCGTTCCATTGTATCCACTTCCCCCTTCATTCCATGCCGTCCATTTCATTCCCATCGGTCCCATTCCATCACAGTCCATTCCGTTCCATTCCATTCCGTTCCGTCATCCTCCTCCTTTTCGTCCGCCCCGCGGTCAATCAAGGTCACCAGCATTGAGTCAGGGCCCAGCGGTGTGGGACATCCTCAATCAAGGTGGTTGACTGGCTAGTTGGCTTCCTCGTTGCCGGGTGAACCGACGTTTAAAAACCAATGTTGGCACATTTCTCACGCGGAACGCGCCGAATTGTGTGCCAGCGATAAGAGTCCCATAGTGAGAATTAGATTAGTTCCGTGCCCAGGGAGGATGAACCATTTTCCGGATATGTATATATATATACATTAAATGCATCGATGTTCGGATGTCTGGATCGGTCTTCAAGAGCCTCCATGCTGGAACCTCCATGATCCTTCTTGAGGGCTTCCCTGGAGATGTGGGAAGAGCACAACTCCCATGACACACATCATGGTGAAATGGTATATTGGTCCCTCTCGGGGCGCCTCGTTGGAGATGTGGAATGAGCACACATTCTGCGACAGATCATGGTGGAGTGGTACGCTGGATCTTTTAGAGGGGCTTCCCTGGAGGAGACAGGAGAACGAGGAGGAAGAGGATGTCTAGACAATTTGTCAGGGTTCTTGGCCTATCGAATTCGAGTTATAAAACTCAACGGCTCGTGGTGATTTTCTATACGGTAGAACTCTGACCACTCGTGGCCGTTGCAGTATTTCGGAGATAACGAACACCTGGGATAAACGAAAGAGACTCGGGCCAGGGACGGAGGGACGAAGGAGGAACGGAAGACAGAGAGGAGAAGAGGAGGAGGAGGGGGAGGAGGAGGAGGAGAAGAAAAGAAAAAAAAGGAAGAGAAAAGGAGAGTAGCAGGAGAAGGAAGAGCAGCCGGAGGATGAGAGGGAGGAGGAGGAGGAGGAGGAGGAGGAGGAGGAGGAGGAGGAGGAGGAGGAGGAGGAGGAGGAGGAGGAGGAGGAGGAGGAGGAGGAGAGGGAGGAGGAGCAGCAAAAGCAGGAGGAGGAGGAGGAAAGGGAGGAGGAGGAGGAGGAAAGGGAGGACGAGATTGTTACAAAAACAAGCGTTTTGCTTGAGGCATCATCGAACATCTGATGGTCGCGAACTCGGCGAATTTTCGAATATGGGTGATTTGCTTGAGACATCCTCACACAAATAATCATACATGTTATTCATTGTGCTCTGCATGAGATGGAGATCGGAGCTACGATGCGAACCTTGAGGGTGATGTTTGCCCCCCCCCCCCCACACACCCCGGCCTGTTGTAGCAATTCTTGACGCTTCGCGTGTCCCCACCAGTTCTATGTCTCGTTCAGGGGCTGTTTTGCAGACTCCCTGGATTGCACGCTGGCTCTGACGCCCTGGGACGCTGCTGCGTGCCGCCTGTCCGCGGCCCCGCGCGCGCCCGCCGCTAGTCGTGGCCGCAGCCCGCCCGCGACCGCCCGCCGCTGGCGCTTCCGCCTGCGTTTTTTTTTTTTGTGTGTATTATTTTTTAAAAAGTCCCCACCAGCTCATGCGTAGCAAAAACGTTGCTATCCCCCACCACACTGCGGCTGTCAGCTGCATTCCGGCCAGGTCTCGGGTTGTCTCTGGTGTTATCTTTTCCCCCGGCTCTGCGGCTGTGAGCTGCACCCCAGCTGGGCTTCGTCGCGTATCAGGTGGGTCCACTATGCAGCATCCTGCGGCTGTTACCTGCGCCCTCCTCATCTTGGCTGGTGCGGCCAGTTCCCCCCAGGCTGCACATCTCAGGCGAAACAATTTCTCACCTTCCTGCGGCTGTTAGCTGAGCCCTGCCAGAGGACCACATGTCTCAGGCGAAGCAATCATCCAACAGTGTGCCGCTGTTAGCTGCGCTCCGGTTCAGGGTGACTCAGGTGGCACCGTTTCCGCTCACTGCTGCTCAGGCGAAACTTCTTCCCACCTTCCTGCGGCTGTTAGCTGCGCCCTACCAGAGAAATCTGCATGTCTCAGGCGATGCAATCCCCCATCGTTCTGCGGCCGCCAGCTCCACCCCCACTGGGCGCCGGCCTGTTTCAGGCGAAACATCTCACCGACCGCAGTTGTTAGCTGCTCCAACGGGCCCCGGGCTGTTCGTCGGCGGCCCTGGCGCGTGCACCCACCTTCCTTCGGTTTCCTCTGTTCCCCCCCGAAGGTAATCCAGCTACGGGCAACTGTTGCTGCCTCTCTCTGACGGGCGCCCCTCACCCCATGCTCCCCCCGGGGCGCGAGGGATAGGAGGCTCCCCCATACTTCCCTTGCCTTGCCCTGGAGCTGGCCTGGGGTATTGCCCGACCTTCAGCAAGGTCGCACCTGCGCTATCACTCGCTTCTGCCGCCGTTGGTCACTCCTCGGCCCCGTTGTCTCCTCGCCCGTGGCACCGCATCCCAAGTTTGCTCGGGACCTGATGCGCACTTACGACAAGTGCGTACTGGGAGTTCTGCAAGGTGCGGACGATCTACTTCTTGTTCCACGTCTGAGCCGTGGCTTCTGCCCTTTCGTTCTCTTTCTTGTCTCTCGTCGCCGCCCCTCCTTCGCTCTTCCCCCTTCTTCCCCGGTTCCTTTCGTTCGCCCTCGCCCCTGCCGCGTTGCCGCCGTGCTCCGCGAGGCAGTTCTCGCCACCATCGTGGCCCTTTTCCTGCGACCTGCCTGGGACAGCACTGGCTAGCGCTCTTTTCGCGACCTCCCGACGCCGCGCGGGTCCCCGCTCGCGATCGCGATCAAAGAAAGTGCCCCCGCCAGCCCTATTTCCCGCCATTTTGGCGCGCACCTCTGGCGGCTGCTAGCTGCCGATGACGCCTCCTCCGTGAGCGCCGCGCGGCCCGCCCCGGCTGGTCTCACCTCTCTCTCTCTCTCTCTCTCTCTCTCTTTTTCTCTCTCGCTCTTATGTTTCTTTCTCTCTCGCTCTTTCGTTCTTTCTTTCTCTCTCTCTCTCTATCTCTCTCTTTTTTTATATGTATCTTTTTTTTTTTCTCTCTCTCTCTCTCTCTATCTTTCTCTCTCTCTCTCTCTCTCTTTTGTTTCTCTCTCTCTCTCTCTCTCTCTCTCTCTCTATACATATATATATGATAGATTCCGGTCTTTTTTGTTGTTCTCTCTCTCTCTTCTCTTTTCTCTCTCTATGTTTCTTGTTTCTCTCTCTCTCTCGCTCTCTCTCTCTCTCTCTCTTTCTCTCTCTCTCTCTTTCTCTTTACGTGTATATGTAGTTGGTTTCTCGATGTATTTGTTTTTTCTCTCTCTCTCTCTCTCTTTTATCTCTCTCTCTCTCTTTGTCTCTCTCTTTCTCTCTCTCTCTCTCTCCGTCTTGTCTCTCTCTCTCTCTCTCCCTCTCTCTCACACACTCTCTCTAGTTCTGTCCCTTTCCTTTTTTGTTTCTCTCTTTCTCTCTCTCTCTATTTTGTTTGTCTCTCTCTCTCTCTCTCTCTTTGCGTCTCTCTCTCTCTCTCTCACTCTCTCTCTTTCTCTTTCTCTTCCTCTTTCTCTTTCGCTCTCTCTCTCTCTCTCTTTCTCTCCTCTCTTGTTGTCTCTCTTTTCCTCTCTGTCTCTCGTGTGCAAATTTCGCCCCGGCTTGTTAGCTGTAGCTCTGGACGGCGCGTTGCACGTCCGTTTGCGCTCGCGAACAACAGAAAAGTCCCCGCCTGACCATCCAGAAACGATACCCATGAGAGCTGACGGGAGGAAAGGGAAAGAGACACGTATAGTGAAACAGCGAGGGAGGCTGGCCTGGACGGCGCGTTGGGGCCATTTTGGAACCGGTTTTGGGGCCTCTTAGAGCAGTTTGGGAACCACCTGGAGCTAGCTTGGGCTACCGTGAGCCATCATGAAGGTCATCCTGGGCTCTCTGAGGTTCCTCGGGGCCGTTCGGGGGCTTCTCGCGGGCCTTGTCGAATGTTTTGTTGCAGGCCTCTTGGGGCGCTCTTTGGGCCGTCTTGGGAGCCTCCCGGGAGCCTTGGAGGGCCTCTTGGGGCAATGTTGGAGGCGGTCGGTCAAAATAATGGGGGTACTAGATGTGCGCCCCCCCTCGGGGGCCACGGTCCTTGTGAGGGGTGGCAAAAATTGGCCCTCCCAATGGGAGGAAAAAGGGAGTCCCCGACACATCACGACCGCCCAAAAAAAACCTCAGGGAGGGGAGGGGGAGGTCCCTTCCCCGAAGGGAAGAGGGGTTGTGGTAGAGGAGAGAGACGCTTGTTAGACCACCTGTCGCCCAAAGGGTTGGTGGCATTTGAAACCAAATATTGCCCAGGGATAGTCATACCTATACGACCACCCTTCTGGTGATGAGGAGGTTGTCGGGGAAGGTGAGGGGGGAGAGCCAACATCTGATTCAAGCGATCTAAGTATAGATCTCACTCAACTGGACACCGCGGGACACCACGGGACACTTGTCGATCCCTCTACCGATTTCACCATCGATCTCACTCAACGGGACACCTCGGGGCAACAACGGGACCCCGCGGCGCACCTCTCGATCTCATTATCGATTTTACACCACGGGACACCATAGGACACCACGGGACACTTCGGGACACCACAACGATCTCACTCTCGATCTCCTTATCGATCCCAGTACCGATCTCACTCAACGTGACACCATGGGACACCATGGGACACCTGTCGATCTCACTATCGATATCACTATCGATTTTATTTGTTGGGGCACCACGAGACACCACGGAACACTTCGGGGCACCACATCGATCCCAGTACCGATTTCATTATCGATCACACATTCGATACCGCTCAACGGGACACCACGGGACACTTCGGGGCACCACATCGATCTCAGTATCGATCTCACTATCGATCTCACTTTTTGCGACACCACAGGGGCACCACGGGACACCTCGGGGCACCACATCGATCCCAGTATCGATCTCATCATCGATCTCACGATCGCTCTCATTCAACGGGACACCACGGGACACCACGGGACACCGCGGGACACCGCGAGCCACCGCCGGACTGGCGGGAGGGCGGGGGATAATCATTTGTTTTGACTTCGCCCTAGCAGCGGCGGGCACCGCGGGGCACCGCGAGCCACCGCCGGACTGGCGGGCGGGCGGAGAATAATCATTTGTATTGATTTCGCCCTAGCAACGGCGGTTCCGTTCCTCTCGCGAGCCCACGCAGCTTCGCCTCGGCCGCACGCACGACTCGAACGAAACGAAACGATTTCCCTGTTTGGGGTCTCCGTTCCACTGCGATCTCACCCCCCAACCTCCGATATGGTTCAGGGCCTGGCCCCCTCCCCCCCCACCAGATGGCCCACGATTGGTGCCCCCCTCCCCCAGTGGGTGTGGCGTGGTGTGGTGGTGTGGTGGTTTGCGCGCGTGCGTGCGAGCGTACGTGCGTGTCCCCCCGCCCCCCCCCGTGGGTGTGGCGTGGTGTGGTGGTGTTTTGTGGTGCGGTGGTTTGCGCACGTGGCTGCGTGGTGGTTGTGTGTATGTGTGCGTGTGTGTGTGCGTGCGTGCGTGCGTGTGCGCGCTTGCGTGCGTGTCTCCAGTGTAGTCGCCAGCAAAGGCAGCGTCGTCATCGTCGTCGTCTTCATTGTCGTCGTCGTCGCCGTCGTCGCCGTCGTCGTTCTCATCGTCGTCGTCTTCGCCGCCGTCGCCGCCGCCGTCGCCGCCGTCGTCGTCACTGTCGTCGTCGTCTTCCCCGTCGTCTTCGCCGTCGTCGTCGCTGTTGTCGTTGCTGTCGTCGTCGCCGCCGCCCCCCCCCCATACCATCGGGGGGGAGGGGACGTGGGAACCCTGGGACCCATAGCATCGGGGGGAGGGGGCACGTGGGCACCCAACACCCTGAACCATATTTAAGGGTGTAAGGGTGGGATACTTTTTTATCGTCGGCGCGGGGCTAGTGGGCCGAAATATTTCTTGTACCAGACATGTGTTTCTGGACCGTATTTTTCAGAATAACCGGAGAATGTGGCGATCAGCGACCCAGCGTTATGTTCTAAGCGCCCATTGTTTGGGTTATGAGTTATGAGAGCATTCTCTTTTTCTGAGAGAGTGTCGTGGTGGGTTTCTAGGAATGCCGGGACGGTCGGTCCCCGCTCACTCCGGGGGCCCTCGGGATTCTTCGGGGTCCCTCATGGTTCTTCGCAGGATCGATGATCTTTAGGATGCGTGTGAGCCCAGCTGCGTGCTCTCCCACTGCGGCTCCTCGGTGGGCAGGCACACGTCGGCGTTCCTGCACTCTCCGAGGATCACCGGCCAGGCCCGTCAGGCTCCTCGGGATTCTCCTCAAGTCCAGAGGCAGCGATCGGGGAGGATGTGCTCAGGGGGGAGGGGGGACGCGTCGACCCCCAGTCGTGCATGGGCTGCCGAGAGGGGCCCGATGGCCACCCCCGCCCAGGAACGCGCGGCTTCGCTATCGGGGGCCCATCGCCGATTGCTCGGCGATGCATCGCCGATGCCTGGTCGATGTTCCCCCTCCCGCTGCGCCAGTCGCCTCTGTCGTCGCCTCCCCCCGCTCAGCCGACGCGGCCAGAGGGCGCCATTGGCCGTCCACCGCCCCTCGCGGCCTGCGGGTCGCTGCCCCTGACCCAGGCTGGAGAGCAAGCGCCCAGCGGTGGCGCTCCTTCCAGGGCTGCGGAGGCGCGCTGGGCCACGGTGCGCAGGGTTCTGCAGGGCCCCATCCAAGAAGACACCCAGCGAACTCAGACGAGAATGCCGCCGTTTCGCGTGGATTCGGGTGCCTCCGCAGCTGCTGAAGAGCAGTAGTCGGTGCGCCATGCCAAACTGCTGGCCCCGCCGGGGGCGCGGCAGGTGCCACCCTGATCCATCACACCCACTGCTCGGCGTTGCACACTCTTGCCGCTGCTCATGGTGGCGACAAGCTCAGGGGTGCAGGCTGGTTTCCGCTTCTCCCCAAAGGGTGTTTGCACTTAGGGCTCGTCGCCGCCCGTCGCCGCGTTGCATTGCTTTGCATTGCGTTGCATTGGTTTGCAGTGCCTTGCCTTGCTTTGCATTGCTCTTCATTGTTCTGCATTGCTTTGCATTACTCTGCACTGCTTGGTATCGCATGGAATTGTTTTGCAAAGGTTTGCACCTCATCGAATGCTCCACATGGCTTGCGTGATCCAGATTGCACCACATTGGCTGCACCACCCGGATTGTACCCCAAGATTGCAAGACATTGCCGTTTGGGCCCCACGCTTGCTCACAATACCATGCAGAAACATACCTACTGCTGGGTACGAGGGGGTTTCGGCAGCGCCCCTCAGGGTTCCTCAGCGTTCCCCTTGGCGCCCCCCGGAGGAGGCCGCCCCACCGCAGCTCTGCTACCTTGGCCTCGGCGGCAACCTGGGGGACAAGCTGCGCCACATTAGCCGCGCGCTGCGGGCCGTCGCCGCCCTGGAGGGCGTTCGGGTCGCGGCGGCCCGCCGTCTTGGAAGAGGGGGGTGGCAAGTGGAAGGAGAGAAATCGGCACAGGCATACCCTCGGGATCTTGGACTTGGAAAGGGGAGGGCGAGGACAGATGGAGGGCGAGAGGGGGAGGAGCGAGGAGCGATGGAGGGGTGATAGGGGGAGGGAGGAGCGAGTAGCGAGCAGTGCGCCGGAGGGGAGGCCAGGGCTATCTGCATGATTCTCCCCTGACGCACGCTGTGTGGCCAGGGGTGCCACCTCAGCCTCTGATCTCAGGGGGCGGTATGGTCAGGAACTTTGGCTCAGTGTGTCGCTCCGGCAGTTCTGGCCCACCTCGCTGCGGCACGACACGCTATCCACGTTCCCAGTCCCCAGGCTTCAACGTCCCGAGCCTTTTCCAGCCTCCCGCCTCGCGAAGCGGAGCGACACACATAATCCGCTTGCAGGGCATAGCATGTCGCCAGGGCCGCCACCACGACACGGTAAACAACAGATTCCCGACCTTGCTTGTGTCAGCGTTGCTGGGCGCAGCTCGCCAGAAGAGACGCTGGTTGGTGAGCTGCCCACTGGCGAAGACAGCCGGCAACAGGTTTAAACATGGTGTGGTCTGTCGCGGGGAACACTTCTACGTCAAGGGAGCCAGGGCTCGCTATCGGCATCCTGTCAGAAGAGCTTTTCGGAACCTCGTCACGGGATGTGTCGTTGGGCCGCTTCAGATGGGGCCACTTGCATCTTTCTAGTTTGTCGCACCATCTTTCAATGGGCGACACTGTTATGACAGGGCCGTGAGTTAACGAGTCGGCCCAGACGTGTTTTCACCAGCCTCTCTAGAGATGCTGCTGCATCGAAACACGTCCATCCGCCGCCAGGCCTACACGCGGGTTGCAGGTCCGTCGTTTTTGTCCTGTTCCAATATGTTACTTCTCCTGATGCTTCTTGTCCCCCTCTTCGTCGTCCCTTTCATCGTCGTCGCCGTCACCCTCCTCCCTTGCCGTACGGTAATTACGGGTGTAAGCAACAATCCTCCTCATCATCCCTCCTCTTCCTCCTCCTCCTCCTTCTCCTCCTAAACCTCCACCCCCTCCTCATCCTCCTTCTTCCCTCCTCATGTTCCTCGCCCTCTTCCTCCTCGTCCGCTTCCTCCACTCTTCGTCGTCGTCGTCGCCCCCCTCGCCCTCCGCGCGTTCCTCTGTCCTTCCTCCTTTTGCTCCTGCCGGTCCGTGCGCCTCCTGCGTCCAGAGCCCCCTGCGAGAAGGTCTTGCGAACCTCCAGCCTCTACGTCTCCGCCCCGCAGTACGTCGCCGGCTCGGCCCCGTCCCTTCCCCCGGCGCTCCTCAGGGGCAACGGTAGGAGGGGATAGGCTCATGGGGGGACGCATCGACCCCGCACTTGGTCGCCGGTAGGGTCCCGATAGCTACCTCCGCCCAGGACCGTGCGGATTTGCAATCGGGTGCTTATCGCCAGTCCATCTGCGATGTATCGCCGATTCCTGGTCGAGGGTACCCACCCGGGGCCAGTCCCCCCCCTCCTCTGTTGTTCCTGGGAATGGTTCCCCTTCGCGCTCCCGGGCTTTCCAGGGGTCTCGCCCGAAGAGAAGGAGGGAGGAGGAGGAGGAAGTGGACGAGGAGAAGGAGGAGGAGGAGGCGCGGCAGCCAGCAGCATCCGACGGACTCCCATGCCATCAGGAATCAGGAATCAGGAGAAGGAGGAGGAGGAGGAGGAGGAGGAGGAGGAGGAGGAGGAGGGGCGGCGCGCCGAAGGGGAAGTGAGAAGGGACAGACCTTCTCACCAGGCGCGGTGCTTCTCAGAAGCCACCCCAGCAGTGTGAGAGGCCCTTTCTGGCCCCGGGGGAGGTTAGCGCCTCCGGAGCCTTCTGAGAAAGCCCGCCCCCTCTGCCGTGCCCCCTGGACGCGCTGTCGAAAGGAGGAGCCAGGTGAACTAGTTCGAGCGAGTAGGCGGATCCCGCCCAGTCCCACCCCCCCCAAAACATAAGCGCCCATGGTGGCAGAACTTAATCGGATTGTGACGCCATCCCAATTAGCGAAAGGAGGCGCTCGCGCGCGGTCCCGCTCTGGACGACTGGGCGAGGGGAAAACAGCGGGTCGGGCGCGGGCGGGAGCGGAGTTTCAGAATTCCCTTGCGCGGCGCTGCGGCGCAGACGCCATCTGCTTTTTCTCGGCGAGGCCAGGTGGCGAAGACGAAGACCAAGTGGCGAAACCGATGAGCGCGGCGAAGACGAAGCAAGCGCGGCGCCGAAGCAGCATTGCCAATTCCACTCGCACTCTGTGCGGCGCTTGGGCGGGGACAGCATCTGCTTCACTCTCGCGCGGCTCCGCGGCCGATGCCGCTGTCATGCGATGCGCGAGCGAAACATGCGCTGCGCCCGCGCGCGAACGTCACTTCAGCTGACCTGTGCACAGAGCCTGGGCAAGGGCGACAAGTTGCCCAGTCGCGTTCGCCGCCGCCCCAAATGACCTAACGATTGAACAATGTGGTGTGCCGTGACAAGGTGGAAACGTCACTGTCAACCAACTTTGCACGACGGGTGGCCCCAGCACATCGAGACGCAGCATCAGCGTCAGAGCATCCACGCGCAGTGCCACTACTACTTGCGCGGGGCCTCCTTGGACGACGACGCCGCGTTTGCGGAGGAGGACGACGCAGGTTGACATGTGGAGTCGTATCTCGATCCAGGGGTGCGCGAAACATTCCTGACTTTCAACAAGGCTGCGTCCGGCGACTGCGTCGCCGGCGTTCCTCAGACAGCGGCTGCGTCCAGCGACAGTGTCGCCAGGGCTCCGCAGACAGCTGTGCTTAACTGCTTAACACTTATGTCGCCGTCAAAACCGCGGGAACCGAGGGCGACGCCGACCTTTTGTCCGAAGGAGGTCGCAGCAGCCATCCTCGAGGAGCCCACCATCTGGGTCAAATGCACATGCGTTAAGAGGCGGGCGTCCAAAGGCGCCCGAAACGTAATGGACCCCACACGCGTCTTCAAGTGGAGGCGCCGGATGGGAACAGACGGCGAGACCGTCAGGATCAGCCGGCGCCGCATTGCGCTGAGGGGTTTCCGCGACACGGGCGCTGGAGCCTTGGAGACGTTCGCTGGGACAGCGAGGCGGGCGTCCCAGCGCTTGCTAACCCCGCCGCGGCGGCGCGTCGCTTCGACCGGGTTTACGTCGTCGCTGGTGTAGGGGAGGCAGTCTTGCAAGGCGTGACCTCTGCAGAGACGCAGGAGCAAGATGATGCCCCCCGAGGGGTGAACTTCACCCTGGCACCGGGCAGCGCAGCTGCTGCTATCCTCAGGCATGTGCCCAGCTACGAGAGCCCCGATGAGCGGACAGAGTGCCTGCGCTGCATCAAGCCAGGCACGGGCTGCAAGGGCGCGCCCGGGGCCGTTTCCATCCATGCCTACCAGGTGGGGCGAGCTTGAGGTCAAACGCGCGACGTCTGGCAGCTGTGCTGCCTGCGTCTCGGAGCTGGGGCCCATGTTGTCCAAGCGCGTTGGCGACCTGAAGATCGCTGGACAATAGGAGCACGTCGACCGGATAATCAGCTTCATCGAGGGCGCCTTCGTCAAGATGAAGGGCGACTGCGACGACTTCACCAATTGCGGAGGGCAACACCACAGCAGTACCGATGGCGCCGCGACGTTCGACCAGGACGATTACATCGACGTTCTGATACGTATTAAACACGCCGACCTGGTCAAGGCCAAGGCTGTCGTGCTGGCCGTAGGTCTGCTCCCCGACCTCATTGTCTCCTTCCTGAGAACAGCGGCTTACGACCTGCTTGGGCAGCACCACGTCGCAATGTACATTGTTGCCCTGCAGAGAGCCAAGAAAAGGCTGCCCATCCGACGCGCGATGCGGCTCAACTCCGCTGTTCTAGCCATTCAAAAGATCAAGGCACGCATCGCGTCTCCATCAGTTGAGCGCGCCAGGCGACTCAACGAGCACAGCGACGGGTCCCTCAAGAGGGAGGAGGAGTCAGGATACGGCATGAGAGGGGCCGTGTACATGTGTCTCGGCAAGTGCTGCCGCACCGGCAAACTGGTGTGCCACCTGCTGGAAGCAGCGAGCCGATCGCACAAGCTTGCGCGCAGATCCTCATTCGGTTTCGAGCAGCTCGCAGCATGCGGCGCAGCAGACGGTCTGCTGGCGAACCACCTTGCGCCGCGCGAGATGGCGCGCGGCCCGTCTCCGCCGAGGAGACCAGGTGGTTGGTCGGGGGAAGGAGGATGCGCGGTTCCCGCAGACCTCGTCATAGACGGCATGTTCGTCTTCAGCGCCCTACTCGTGAAACCCGGTCCGACCGCCGCGCAGGGACAGCATGGACGGCCACTCCTGGCGGTTAGCCGCCCAGCTGCGCACTGGGCTGATCGACGACTTGCACTGGCGCAACATTTGGGGACGGGGGCCCGCCCCATGACCAAGTCAGCATTGGCCGAGAGCGAATATTTAGCTAATCCTCAGCGCGATGGACGGCCAGATCAGCAGTGACCGCGCCGCGGTTAAGCACGGCGGCGAGAAGCTGAAGAAGGTCGCCCCGAGCTCACAGCATAGCTCGTGCAGACATGAAGATATGACTCTCGTGACTGCGTCGCGAGGTCTCACGGAGTCGATAATCGGATGTTTGACATCGGCGGTCGAGATCGTCGAGTCGAGCATTCTGGCGAGCGGGTTCGCCCGGGCTGTGTCCGGGCAGCGCGCGGATCTTGACCAGGGTTCCTCATTAGTCTCGCTTTGTTTCAGGTGGCTGGATCGACTGGCCTGCTTCGGCTAGTCCCGCGGGCTCTCGCGGGCGTGCTTCCAATCCTGCCACTAGCGCCGTAAAGCGGTTTTTGCGGTTGGCGCCGCGGGGGGTCAATGTGCCGTTGGAACGGGGCGAAGTCCGCCAACCCAGGGACCTGCCGAACTCAGATGAACTTCCCCCCTCGCGGCCAAGCAATGTTCTGTGATGAGGGTTAGCAGAGCCCCCCTTTGCACGGTCCGACCGAATGCACGACGCACGGGTAACCTCACAACTGCCCCGCCGATGCACCGTCCTACCGAATTGCACCGTCCTGAGGAATGTTGCAACTATACCTTTTTTCAGTCTTGCTTTCTGTAACGGCCCCCCCTTCCCGCCGCTGTTTGCGCTCTGGGGCCGCGATGATTTCCCCCCGCGCCCGCTCTACATGCGCCTTGCTCTACAGGCTCGCTTGCGGGGTGCACCCTTCCACATCTACGTCTCGATTTCAAGTGTTCCCCCTCCTCCTGCTCCTCGTCCTCCTTTTCCTCCGTCCTCTTGCTCCTCGTCCTTCTTCTCCCCCTCCCCCTGCCCCCCCTCCCCCCACTCCCCCTCCTCCTCCTCCTCCTCCTCCTCCTCCTCCTCCTCCTTATTATTGTAGTGGCCTCCGGCCAGTGCCGCCGATCCGGGGCGCTCCAGATGATGATGATGATGATGATGATGATGATGGCGATGATGATGATGGTGATGGCGATGGTGATGGAGATGGTGGTGATTCCAGCCCCCCCACCCCCCCTCCTCTCTCCTGTTGCCCCCTCCTCTCTCCTGCCCACCCCATCCCTCTCTCCTCCGTAGCCATTTTGGCTCCAGTTCGTTTTCGTTCAAGGACGCGAGTCTTCTGGCGTGGGGGAGGCAGCGGCCCCCGACAGCATTCAGGGTCACCACCCTCTCTCTCCTCACAGCGCATTGCGGTCCATTCCGCGCCCCTCTGCGCACTGCGCTGATAGCCTCATGGCCAATTGCGCAAAGTTGCGCGCAGATTGGCATTGTCGCTCTTGCGTGCACAAGCGTGCTGGTGCGAACTTGGTCAATTGGGGCAGCAGTCTCAAATGTCACGGATGCAGATTACGTTAGAAGGCGGTGGGAACGTTCCAGCAGCAGGCGGCCCCAGCACTCGGCCCAAGTCAGGCTCGAGCGGGGGCGGCGGCGATGCGTCCACGGCGGCAACGGCCCCGAGGACGGAGCTGGAACGCGCGCTGCAGGAGGCGCGAGCTGAGATCGAGAAGCTCAAGCGGCAGCACAAGCAGCAATCGACGGCTACCGGCGGCAACACTGCTGCGGACATGCAGGTCGACGGCCCCCGGGAAGGCGGTCCGCCCGAGGAGGGGCAGCTGGCTGAGAAGGTCAAGCTCCTGGAGCAGGACCTCGCCATCGCGAAGGCGGGGGTCGGCTCGCGGGCGGGGGAGCAGCAGCGCACGTTGGGTCAGCCGCTCGCAGAGGCGAAGCAAACATTGCTCAACTCCAAGCCGTTCCACGCGCAGGCGCACGGCTGGCCAATCGGGCCAG